TAGTGCCCACCCACCTGGTTTCTTGCACGCATGCCACCTGAATCCTTCTCCTCTTGAGAACTTGCACCAACTCAATCGACTTACCCGTGAGGGTCCCTATGTTCCATGAGCCGAAACGCACATGTGACACTACACTACCCCTCTGCGACCCTCCTACCCCCGTACCCCCTACCCCCGTCCCAACCCCAGGATATGCCCTAATAGCTACATTGCTAACCCACGCCACTACACCTACACAGCAACACCAAAAAGCAAAGAAGAGACGAAGCAACTAACACAAAAACAGTAAGGTACGAACCACTACTAAAGATGGTAAGAGCAACAATGCAAATAACAGTAAAAGAGTACGGTAGTAGCACAAAAAGTCAGCAATCAAAGCAACACCTTAACACACACAGTAGATCAATAACAGCAATCAAATCACAAATCACAGAAGAGCGATAAAAGCAGTAAAAGCAATAAGATAAATTTGCAACAATTGAGAAGCTAGTAGGAGAAGTAGAAATAGGATTCGGGTAGATTGAAGTTTAGTTCTGTTCTGTTTTGTTTTCCTTTTATTTCAGTTTCAGAATGAAGTTTTATTTTTACAAATTTAATGTTGTTGAATCTGACTTGGAAATGTTTATACTTGGATTAGAATTATACACATTCAGCTTGGGTTTTAGTTATACATTCGGCTTCAACCTGCACATGTAATTTTTTGCTCAAATCTTTATAAAGTAGGGAAAGTGTAGAAAGATAATTTTTAAATTTTACTTACCTCAAAAAAATCAAAATGCCTTATAAAAAGGACCAAACAACTTTTTAGAAACTTGTGCTTATATATGGGACCAGGAGTAGTAAATATGTTGGTTGTGGAGTAAAAGTGTATTTTTATTAAAACAACGTAAGAACAACAAAAACCCAATAGAAATCCACAAAAGTATGCTCTGTGGAGGGAGTGTGTACGCTGAGTGACTTTATCCCCACTTGAAAGTAGAGAGATTGCATCCAAGAGACCCTCAGCTTGAGCAACACAGAAGGCACAGAGCAAAAACAAAGAAGCAAATAGCAAACTAAGGGTAAATAAAAACACAAAGAGACAAAAAGCACACAAACCGCCACTAGCAACTAGACCCCACACAAAGACGAGCAAAAATTATCACCAAGGCTCACACAACTATCTAAGGTCATATCCTTGGTAAGGGCCAGAAGTCTCTGGTCCTGCCTATAAAACAAAGTAAAAAGTATTGGCCAAAAAAAGGAATGAGAATAATATCTTGGGATATTCTAAAGTAGTAAAGTGGCAAGTGGGAAGATGATGATGGGGCTGAGGGAATAACAAGTACTCCGTATCATGCAACCTGCAAGTTTGAGCTAACTTTCCAGTTTATCTCAAACTTTACTTTTTAGTAGAACATTCAAAGATCATAATTTTAGAAGCACCTTTCTTTGTTAATATTCTCTAATATGCTTTCTAGGGAACCATGTTGGCGAACAAGCTTCAGAGCAGTTTGCGGCCCAATACCTGTTAAAGAGATATATTTTGGAATCATACAACATGAGACATTATAACATACGAATGCAACGAGCAAAGATATAAAACACATCCATATGACTTTAACAATAATGCGTACAATAATGATTTAACACAGAACATTCGATGATTTGTGCATTCCACATTTCCACAAATATGATCAAACTAATTGGTAATGTTGGTTTCTTGGTTTCTATGAATGGTGAACCATAAAGGCTATTTCTTCACAGCTGAAAATGCTATATCCATCCCAAACTAAAAGGGGTTGTTTGACCCTGTGAATAATAAATTGGGCTTTTATTTTAGAACAGAGGGAGTATTTCATAAAGATTTGAATTAAAGAGTAAGCACGGAAAGAGGCAAAGAAAATGTAAAAAGGAAATAAATTGTATGTTATCGCCTAACTATATACTGGATATAGCCATCTAGGTAATAGTGTAATACTCATATATTAATCGTAATGTAATTGAAATATTAAAGAATCAGATATATGGAGGGTTGGACACAGTTATCCAAAAAAGGTTAGGTACCTCGTATACTATCACAGTAATCACATCCACATAAAATGCACAGGTCAATGAACTGATCCATTGTAAGTTCCAGCTCTTCAATAACCTGAAATAAAGGTAGTCAATAAAAGTAAATTGCATGACAGGACACAAGTAATCCCTCCAGTGCCATTAGTACCTTTGAAACTTCAATTTCCATTACAGGTATCTTTTTGGAGCTAGGATCCATCAAATGGCGAAGAAACTTTGGAGCTCCAAAAGTTAAGGAATCCATATCTTCTGAGGCCACACCATAAACCTGGCATATGTTAAAATCCAAAGGTTCTCCTATAGCTGATTCAATGTGACAATGTAGTATATAAACAAAATATTGAAACACGTCTCTTTTTGTTTAGCATTGAATTACACTTCCTCTGTTCAAAAATAATTGCAACATTAGAATTTTCACACTTGCCAATGCACAAACTAATTAACTTAATTGATTAATATATTCAATTATTATGTTTTAGTGAAAGCATTATAACAATTAATGAACTTCCATCTGGAACCCCAATATCATTAACATCCTGGAATAACAAGAACCTTAGTAGCACTTTATTACAAGAACTGAAATCCTTGACTAATTCCTAACTAACCATTAGCTACTTTACTATCCTAAATTCCAAATATCCAAGACTAAACAGATATTGAAACTGGGAACTTTCATGTAAAGAGAAAATTAGGACAATTGCCTGATCAGCCTTGCATAGTGCAGCACATTGTGCTTCTGCTTCAGAAGGAGCCTAAGAGAAGAGCACGAGAAAATTAATAATAACAAATGTTACAGAACATTGAGGGAAGCAAGTTATTGGGAAAATAAATAAAAAAAATGATACGGCTAAGAGTTATGCTGTTTTCACCTCAACTACCGGTACTCCCATCATTCTAAGAAGTTTTTTGCAGTCGTCATTGTGTTGCTGTGTGACCTATGAATCCAAGAGCAATGCATCAATGGAATGTGCATGTTTATGCATGAGTGCCTCGAAGAATTAATTAGCCACTTATGTTAGAATGTACTGTGTTTTTTTTTAAATTGTGCACTTCAACATGTAACTTCAAAAGTCTCAAAAGTCTGAAGTGCACTTCAACATGTAACTTAGAAGCATAGAGGTTTATTTACTATTTTATTTTATCTAAGCTCTTTTAGCATCCCTTGAAGTAAACCTAGTGAGAAGACCCCTCTCCCCGAAGGTATCAGCCTGTGTCGTCTGCATAGTTTTATTTACGAACCAATATTGTACTGTGAAACACCGTAGACTTTCACTTAATAATAGAAATTCCTGAACCTCAAAACAGCATGCATAGAAAGTTGTAGTTTCTTTTATTTCTTCCCATGCTTCAATTACTAGTTGCTAAAGTTTGCTATATCTTGACAACTTTTACAGTATATACAAAAATTGAAAAGAGATTGGGATCGTATAGCCATAAAAGATGGTCATAAGCATCAAGAGCTCAACTAGCCAACCTTGAGCTTCTTGAAATTCTTGTTACACTACATACAAAAGCATATAACTTTGGAGCTTCTAGGAAATAATGCTTTTTCCTCTGATGTAAACCCTAACAAACCTATGATTATTTCAAATGCTTGGTTCAACTACTGTGGTTTTGTCTTTTTGGAGAAAATACATAAAAATAAGCTAGGACAAACACACAATAAGCATGTGAGGCAAGTCAAACAATAAAGATAGATGATAACTAGTCATGTAACCCAGCACTCTCCAGTTGAAAAAAATATTAGGGTTGTCAACAGATAGCCGAAAATCCGATTACCGTCCGCATTCGTATTCGTTTAAAGAGGAAGTATCTGCATCCATTTTAAACGGATATTATCCGCATCTGATTAAGGATATCCGATTACTAAACGGATACGGATTTGGTAATTGTATATCCGATCTGTTTAAAATCCGATCTAAATATCCATCCATTTAAATAACCATTTATCCGGATATCCGATCAGTTATATATAGTTTTTCCAAATTTTTTATGTTTATATTTTGTTTCTCTATTGATATTTCAAAGTTTAAAATATTTTTATATACAAAAGAAATGTGTAGATACATAAAAATATGTGCAGACATATACAAATATGTGTATATGTGTGCTTTGTATATATTTTTATCATATGAAGTTATTGTAGAATATCATAAATCATGAAAACAAAGAAAAGAATTATCCCATAACAAATTATTGTTGATTTAATAATAGTTTGACTTTATCTAATTTAAAATTAAAGTATTGTTTAATTTAATTTTAAAAATTGGAAACGGATACAGATATATCTGATATCCGACCGATATCCGACAGATGCGGATACAATTTTGATTTTCAGTATCCGTCAAGATCCGAATTCGAATTCGATATTCGACAAAAATAAATGGATAAGGATTTGGTAATGACACATCCGATCCGATTAATATCCATTTACACCCCTAAAAAATATAATGAAAATACACCCACTATGAAGCTAATTCTACCTCTATCCCATGAAGGTTTTTATGTTCACTATTCCAAGGTCAAAGTTTAATCACTTGCTTAATTTCATTACTAATTTCATAAAATAATATAGTCTTGTCACCTCTTGTTTTATAGAACCTTTGATATAGTTTTTAGATATATAAATTTTATTTTTTAATTTTACCACAATTTTCATACAAATCTAATTAAAAGTAAATTCAATCAACCATTGTAATCCACAACAAGAAATTTTTTCTGGGACAGATAGGGTAGCAAGCAAGACATACAATGAACCAACCTTTACAGTTCTTTTACTGAACTTCTCAATGTCCTCCTTATTGCCGATCTGCAATTAGTGATTATAAGCACCCAGTTATTGCAAATCTTAGAAAGTTTTCAATTTCTTCCCTCTCCCTCAAAGAGTTTGCTAATTTTCAAAAAGAGCAATAGAAATGAAACCCAAAATCAGTATATACAAAACAAATCATTTCAACAGCATGATGCTTTTTATTATTTAACCTCTTCAGCTGCCGCTAGGCCAGCTGTTGCGTCTTCCCTTCTTGAGAAACTGCATAGAAAGTATATTGTCAGTAAATGAAGATAGACAGTAGTCCATTGGCATTTTATATGTATAGATAGATTACTATACCGCTTTGCAAGCTCCTGTTTCTTCAAATCCGGAGGTTTCCCATCAAAAACATAGCTGACAAGCAAAGGCAAATAAATTTTTAGTGAGGCAAGAATTCAAAAATAATTCCCAAGTCCCCATGATGCAAGGCAGAAAGATAATGTGACAACTCACGCTGGCTTTATTCCAGCTTCCAGAAGCCTAATTGTCCGAGAGAACATCCCAACCAAGTGACTGGAATCAATCAATGGAAACATGTTTCTTATATATCAGTCTAACTGTCTAAGAATATAAGATCATAACACATGTCATAAAAAATATCAGTAACTATATGGAAATCTGCTCTATTCTATAAATATCTGAACATAATCACATTGTTCTCCATTGCAAGATTTTACACTTTAGGATGCATAGACAAAATCAAATTTCAAATCATTCGTAATCACATTATCCATCAAAAAGACTTAGGAAAAGTATACCTAGTGGTTTCGCCAGCTTCATTTGTGAGCATCTCAGACCCACTGCGTCCCACCACAATCTACGCATATTGTTCACAACACATTACACTTAAAACCTGCATATATATACATAAATGCATGCTTATATGCATGCGCATATACTGTACCCACTACTAAGTGGCAATGAGAATACATACAAGAAATTGGTAGATGCTCATACTAGCATCAATAGCTATTTTGCGACCAAAATAGCTTTCAAATTTCTGCTCTTTCATGGACTTGGGGGCATTGTCTGCCAGCAGCTTCATTAAACCCTAAATTGTTCACAATTTCAGATTAGTAGTTACTTAGCCTAGTACCGTTTACCGAGTATTAATTTTGAATCGAAGTCTAAATATACGCACCTTGATTCCCATTCTGCCAGAGAAACTTGAAAATTTATGTTAGGTGAACACTGAAGCTTAGAACAGATATTGTAATGTGAGTAGTACGTCTTTCTTTAGCGACTAGGGTTTACAGACAGACTTTCTTGCCGGACTCAAATCCTTGGCTGGAGGGAGGGGAAGGAAGGGAATAGACGAGATTACGAGAAGTTTGGCATTGCCATTTGCCAACAGTTGTCACCTAGTTGCTACTTATCTGAGTTTTTTTGAGTAATTCCATAATACTCCCACCTTTTTCCAAAACCCTTCTTCTTTCGTTTTTTTCTTTTTTCTTAAAACACCTCCTCTTTCACTTTTTTTTTCCAAAACTACCCCTAAACCTAATTTTACCCAATCCCCTATCCCACCTTATCCAACCCCTTCGTTCCCCTAGCGATTCATCTCCTCTCCTCACCTTTCCTTTTTCAAAAACCGGATCAACTTCATGTCTGCTTCCTGTTCTCCAGATCTGACCATGCCCTCATTTCGCTTGCTCTCTGATAGCGATGAGGACAAACCTAAGCCTCATCGTACTCAGAAATCTTTGAGCGAGCGCAAACGATCCATAGCTGCCTTGAAACGTCATGTTGATCTGCTTCCATCAAGTTCATCTGACACTGATCCTTCGTGGAATTTCCGGAAAAAATACTTAGGGGGTGAGCATCTCCCTGATGGAATTGAGTGGGGATCAGATCTGGAAGAAGATTCATCAGATCTTGAGTCTTCATTCAACACTGATGATATTCGAGAAATGAGCTCGGAAACAGAAGTGTTGTTGTCCGAGCCAGTCGGAAGTCCCTCCAAAATTGAAAGATATAAACAGAGTAATGTCCTTTAATCTTCTCTCCTTTACACTTTGCGCATCATGTTATTTTTGGGCAAACTAATGATGCAAAAATAATTAATCTTAACGTCAATGAAAGTTGCCTAATTGTAACGCCACCCCATTTTTGGTTTGGAGGCTTACAAAGCTCAATTATGGCTAGATGTTTGGTCAGGCATTAGTGAATGTGTATGTGGAATTTCTTCTGCGTGGTGAAGATTATGTTTCCCTCTTTTGTTATGGTTGCCATGTGAAATGCAAAGTCAGAAATTGGGTTTCTTATTTTGGTTTCCTATATGGTTCTCTAAGGCAGTTTATCCCTAAATGACCTGTGTGCCTTTCTTTGATGCCTATGATGGATTAGAAATGTGTTCTACCCTATATGTTCCTTGTGGCAGTTTGTCCCTAAGCTTTCATGTCCCTCTCTTTACTGCCTATGATGGATTTTGAATATGTGATTTCCTATGTGGTTCTCTAAGGCTGTTTGTCCCTAAATGACCTGTGTGCCTTTCTTTGCTGCCTATGATGGATTAGAAATGTGTTCTACCCTATGTATTCCCTGAGGCAGTTTGTCCCTAAGCTTTCATGTCCCTCTCTTTACTGCCTATGATGGATTCTGAATGTGTGGTACCTTATGTGATCTCTGAGGCAGTTTGAGGTCAATTACTTTACTGCATAAGATGGCTTTTGAATGTGTAGTGTTATATCTAAGGCATTGTGGTGTCTCTTTACTGCCTATGATGAAATCAGAATGCTTGGTACCCTCTGTGATCTCTGAGACAGTTTGTCCCATTGGTTTGAGGTCCCTTTCTAATGCAGTCTGTCCCTAACCAGTTCTGTGAATATACTAATGGTTTTATGCAAAAAAAAGACTTTTTATAGTCATATAATGATGGTTTTACATATCACATATTGTACTACATCATCACAAGCTTCTTACATGTGGTGTACACTTGCACCAAAAAACAAAAAATATTGTGCATTTGCAAACCACATGTATTACCAAAACAAATCTACACAAAAAACTACTGCCCTATTCTCTTTAGTTGTTCAATTCTGAAATCTGGAGCACCTCTTCATACACTTCAGTACTGACTCCCGAGTTTTATGGAAGTATCCCTTCCCTGGACAGCCTTTCCTTCCCCATGTGAGGTATCTTGAAATTATTTCCTCCTTTATGCCTCAACACCTCACCCATGACTCCTTGATAGGTTAAGAACACATTGTTTAAAACATGTGGTGTGAGTTGTTCAAAAGCCAAGGTGACAACAGTTATGAGATCCCCCAATGACCTGTGTGCACTCTTGTTTTGTATAGCATCTATTGCCCTAAAAAAGCCAAGGTCAAGAACATTTAAATCTGGGCTATTGGGGGGCTGAAATTGCAACCTAATATCCCAATCACTCTCTTGTGCAGCAGCCACAAAAACTGTATCTTGTTGTATAACAACATACTTAGAACTCTGTGTCCATTTTCCCCTTATTGCTGGCAGTAGTTGTTGTACCAGCATTTCTCTCATGACATCTCTTGTTATTTTTGGAATGGGCTTTGTTTCCATTGTACCAGCAGGCCTATTTTTGCTTGTTCTTTTTGCAGCTTCTTGAAATGTGAAGGGGAATATGCCTATTTTCCCATCCCATTGTACCTGACCATCATCCCCAAACCTAGGACGACAGTAGCCAAAAACATAATTTTGGGAATATGTGTTTTGGAATGTATGGTTCGGTAGGGGTCTGCCTCATCAGGTAAGGTGTAGAAGGTCTTTTTAGGCTTGCTCAACTCAAACCACTTCTCATCAATATGTATATAATCATAACAATGATGGAATGTTGGGTTATTTGGTAGGGATGTAGGAGAAAGTAATGACAAACAATACCTCACCCTTTTTAACTTACCTTCATCACATAGATGAGGTTTAATAGCATTGGAGTGTCTTCTGATTTTTTTCTTCTTCACCAACCTATATGCTGTACTAGTTGACACATTAAGGCAGTGGCTTAGGGCACGTAGCGTTTGCTGCTGGTGAAATGGAATGTCAGTCAGCTTTGAAATGTCCAAATTGAAACCTTTTTGCCCCGAGTTACCTTCCCACCTGCAATCCACATTCACTGCCTCGCCCCTAGCCATTTGAGATTTTGCAGCTTTCCATAGCTCTCTGACCCAACGAGGAGATATGTTGAATTCATTAGCCACTGTTTTCAGTGACCCGTGCTGAAGTTTGCCATTTTTGAAATTTTGTAGTATTGCCTCTATTATTCGCTGCCTTCTTTCGTTTCTTGCTTGCACACCGGAAATACATGCGATGTTGTTTATTTCAGGGGTGTTGAAAGCCTCGAAAGGTACTTCCAACAGTGGAGGCAGGGAGACATCCGCTACATCGGCTGAGTCGGTGTTGGCATCTCCAAAACGAGAGGAAGTTGGAAGAGGTGACGGTTCCATCAATGCTATTTGAGGCCAGACAGATTACATGGAGCATTTATTTTCATTCAAGACATGTTTAGGGAGAGATGAATTCATTTAATGCTTTGGTGTATTTATATTGAGAAGTGGTAGTCTTAGGTTGAAATATTTGGAGGGCTTTTTAAATTTTTTCCCAAACAAAAAATTTGTAATCTTTCCCTCTTTTGTTGTGGTTGCCGTGTGAAGTGCAAAGGGTTTTGGTGGAGTCCACTATTCATGACAAGTTACTCATTATTAGCCTCATTATTTTATTCTCACATTTGCCCACTATTGTTAAGTACCCCACGTGAGTAAGGGGTAATATGGGAAGGTCATTGCCAAAATATGGGTTCCTTATTTTGGCTAAAAGTCAAAAGGGGAACCCTTTTCTGAAACGGAGGGAGTAGGTGTTTTTGGAGGTTTTCTTATTTATTCTTCTATGATAAAAAATTACCAATAAATTTTTTTTAAAGAAATCATTCAATTTTGCACCATTAAGTATTACTCCCTCCGTCCCTATTTTTATTATAATTTTTTCTCTCTCCTCTCGATAACTTTTATTTATTTACGCAATTTTATTAAGGTCCCGTTTGGTATACGGAATTCAAACTATAGAATTGGAATTGAAAACTTCAAGTCCAATTAAGGTGTTTGGTAGAACAAAAATTATGTGAATTTGGAATTGATAGTGCAACAAATAAATTGGAAAGAGTGAATTCAATTCTATGGAATTGAATCACATGAAATTTAAATTCTAATTCAATTCCAATTCTATCAATTATGTATACAAAATGGACTCTCTAAGTATTTGATAAAATAAAATATTTTTGTCACCTCTTGTTTTGTAGGACTTTTGACGTAGTTTTTTAATATATAATTTCTATATCTTATTGATATACCAATTTGTAAATAAAATGATTTCAAAAAGTAAAAAAAATTTCCTCGTAACCCGCAATTTGTAATCAAATGGGGGATGAGGGAGTACAAAATACCTATATATCTCTCTCAACCCATTTTTCACTTGTATAGCATCTCCATCGAATATGAGAAGACGTTGAGCAAACTCGAGGTGAAGAAACATGGCGGATTAATCAAGTGAAAACAAAAACCAAGAACGAAGACTTAGAATATAGTTGAGTCGGTCTTCATGTGATCAAGACCGGCATTAACTTTACAATCTTGGCTCTCTAGTTTAAATACTTTTCATCCATCATCTAAATCATTTTCATATGTTTTTAATAAGTCAAAAACACTTGAACTTCGACCAAACCAAAAACCATGCCAAGTCATCTGGCACTCAGAAACCGGCGTTTGGCCTTCGGCTATCGGTGTTGGTTTTTGGCGTTCGAACCAACTAAGTGGATTTTAACCTGTTATGATTGTTTTTTACTTCTGGATATATTTAAACAGTTCTCCAACAAAAACATATTAAAAACCACCTTTCGTTTTTGGTCTTTCGGTAAGAACCATGTGAAACAACATAAACTTGGCTAGCCGTGGTTTTTACTTTAATGACGTGGTTTTTAAGATATTTCACAGGCGGAACCTCCGGCGAGTGGCGGCCAGCTGTGGTTCCAACCGCTCCAATTCTTGACCTTCCATCTTCTTCTTCAACAAATTGGTAACCCTGTATTTGTCAATTTATTTTTTTCTCCAATTCTTTGTAAAGTGTTGTTTTTAGTTCAATTTCACATTTTTATGTGCTTGTGTTCTAATTTTTCAAAAAATTTCAAAAAAATATAGTTGGTGTTTTTTTGGGTTTATGTGTTTTGAATGTTATATTAAATCTCTCATGAATGAGAATTGATTCATATTAGTTTTCTTCAATTTTTGTGCAAATTGTTGTTGAATTGGTTAAATCGTATAATTTGATTTCATAAGTAGGTTGGTATGTGGAATTTGGTTTTGATTGAAGCTATTTTAGCTCCATATTATAGTTAAATGATTTCTGAATTCATACATGATTCTTCGTTGTGCTATGTGTATTGTAAAACTTTAAGGTTTATGGACTTCTTAGCCCCATAAGTTGGACATTTTTTTTAAAATTTGTTATTGAGTGATTGTTATGTCGTGTCTTTGTTTGTTGATTTTCATAAAATTTAAGGTTGTTTAAGCACAAAAACAATTTTTAAGTTTTTAAAAATATGTAACGTTCTCTTATGTGAATAGACTATAATTCTAATGCTTAAGTTGTTCTTGGAGAACTGCAAAATATTTTCACCATTAGATGTTAAAGTTTATTAAAGTGTATAAAATGTTATTTGTGGATAAATTATGCATGAGAGTTAGAATGAAAGAAAGATTCTTTTTTTATAAACTTTTTCATCTTTTGGAATCATTGTTTGAGCGTTTGAGGTGAGTTGAGGTTCAAAGTGATCCAAAATGCTTTTGAATTACATGACTCCGGGCCTTATAGAGGATTGACGATCCTCTATATGTGGTCAAGGATATGATTATATTCAACTTGAGCCTTTGAATTATTTTCTATTTTTTAAGTGCGTAAGTTATGTAATATATTGTCTACGTGTGTATTATACATGTAATGTTCAATTTGTGTTTGTTTTCTTTTTAATTTTATTTCGGGTTCTTAGCGGTGTTTCTTGGGTTACCTTAGTTTGTGAAGTTGATTGTCTTTTGAGCTTGTTTCCCCCCTTTTATCAAAAAAAACCAAAAAAATAAGAGAAAATATAAAAAGCCAAAAAAATATATTTACTTTTTATCCAACAACCCCCCTATTATATTATTTTAGTTTATAATATAAGTTTTTTTCTACTAAGTCATATTATAAGTGTTTTGTTTATAAGTTAGAGATAAAAGTTTTTATACTCTTATATACTTAAGTATGTGTTTTATGTTTTTACGTTATATTATAAGTTCTTTGTTTATATAAGTTATATTTATAAGTTTTTATATTTATTTAGTTATAAGTTTTATTATAAGTTTTATCATATGTGTAGTAGTTAATTTTATTTTTTTTAGTGACAACGTGTTTTGCATGCTTAATTGGTTTAAAAAAACTACAAACTTTTTCCGTGAGATCGACTCTTACTTGCCCTAACTATAGTTTTTATTTGATTATATCTTGGGGGTTAGTTAAGGTTATTTCTATTTTTTTTGAATTTGTTTTATACCGTACGACGGGTCTTCAACAACTATCATTTAAATTTTTGTTTAATATAGGAAAAAACTAGAATTACGGTATTAGAAATTCAATATTAAATTCTATGAGATATTTCAGGGTGTTATAAAATGCTTAATATCGTTGAAGCGAAATTTCAAGAGTCCATATGAGTTAACTAGAAAATCTTCTTGAAAAATAATAACCTCAATCATGAGCTTGTTGAGTTAAATAAGACTATAGGACAACTCAACTATAGGACAACTCATTGAGAAGTTACATAGATACAAGGTTAAAGTGACGGTGAAGGATGACACATCAGAAGAGCTAGCTATTCTTGAAAAAAAGTGGACAAAACTTCCTCAACAATAAAATGTCATTGATAACTAGCGCTTTGAATGAAATAAATTCAAAGAGGAGCTTTTAAAATCAGAAAAGAAGATTGAAAAAATGGAAGGGGAGAAATATGGTCTCAAGTATGAACTAAATCAATTCAAGAGCTTCCACAAATAGATTAGGAGTGCTAGAGAAGAAGCTATAAAAGCTCTCTTGAATGTTACTCTTCTAATTTTCTATAGTTTTCATTAAAAATATCCTTGACATTTTATGCAAAAAAGGAGATAAAAGGTTCAAAACAGTTGAGATTTGTGTTTCTCAAAAATTATCGAAGAGAAAGATTGTTAGTTCCATGTGTTAAAAAAGTTAAAAAAATGTAAAGACTTTACATGTGTTACCTTTGGTGTGATGGAATAAAGTGAATATTGTAAATAAAAGGTAATAGTATAATGACACATTCATTAAAAAGTTTTTCCTAATATAGGAAAAGTCTAAGAAAATTTTGGATAACCCAAAAAGAAAAGTAAGAAAAAATTATTGGACACAGGGAATAATTTCTATCTCCTAACACTCCCGGTAATTTCGTATCCAGCTTGACCAGACCCGAACGCACCCTCCAATCCCTTCAATTTCATCCCCTAACTGTTGGTGATTTTAGAGTCATCGGTTTATTTTGTGTAATTGGATTTACTTAGATCGGTCAAGAATTTAAATAGACGTTGTCAAACGAGTTAGGAGGCGCAGAGCGCGTGCTTGTTCAACGATAATACAAATTCACTGCGGGGTCCGGGGGCGGCAGCCCTGGGTAGCGGGGTCCAAGGGGCAGAGCCCCTGGCCGGGGTCAAGCCCGGGACAGCTTGGAATTTTTTTATTTCGGATGTTGTTTCATTATGAAAATCCTTAAGATTTTCGTGTTCAGAGTCCAAAATAGTAAAGGACTCGAACTAGTGGATAAATGTAGAAATGCACCCCAAAACCGTAGGAGACTCCTCGTTCAAACTCACGCCTTTCTTCTTCTCCGCGCGAATGTACGCGTATGTCTATGCAAAGGTTCGTGTCCGATCATGGAAATTTTTGACTCTATAAAATAGATTCTCGTGGTATGGATTGGGGTACCGATTCTCGAGTGCTCGTTCTTGATTAAGGTCTAATTATCCGATTGAAGTATTTCGTATACCCCGAAATAACTTTGATCTGAAAGCGTTTCGTATGTGATTCATTATACTATCGAGTTCTTATTTAACACTGCTCCGCAGTGTTCTTCCTCATTTAATTCCAACACTAACTCTATTTGACTTTTGGGTCAAAACATTTAATCCAAAAATCAAATAAATTTGGGGATAAAGTTAAAGGGATGGGGAGAGGATGCGTTCGAGTTGGGTGAGGGGGAGTTATCAAAGCATCAACAATGGTGAGACAAAAATTGAATACCACACGCTGTCGTGGAGTATTTCAACCAATAAAAAAACAGTACAGTCAACGAGTGGTACGTGAGTGGAGTGACATGCCTTGCAGTGGCAAATTATTGTTTTCATCACTTTTTTTCATATTTTTGCTGTTCTTTCTTTTTTTTCTTTTTTAGGAATTCTTTCTCAAGAATAAAAGAAAAACAAAAAAGAAAAAAAATAGGCTGAAATTGCCTTGCCCACTGGCCGCGGAAGAATGATATTCCTACGCGAGTAAGATTGACTTTTCATCCGATGTGGCATGACGTGGCAAAGAGATGAATTGCCGTCGCTCATGCTCTCTGTGATTTGGTTAAAGTTATCATACTTTGACATTATTATTTATTGCTAAAAGGGGCTGTAACTTTCTTACCATAAATTTTTTCATTTTTAGCACAATAACATGATTTGAGAGACAAATGGGATATGAGTTATGAGTTTAAAATTCAGTTAAAACAACACTAACAAATCACGAAGTATATTACTATAAAAAAATCATGGGTAGAAGTTGCATCGTAAAACTCACTTAAGCCTTATTCTTTTGCATTAGAAAAATTAATTTCTAACCACTGTCAACTCTTTCTGATTTTTTTCAATTCCTTCTGATTTGCTCCAACAACGACTTTAAAAGTATTTATATATGATTAATATAAAATAATATTATATATCCAAATTTATAACATATCACACGGACAATGATAACTTTTTTTAATCCAAAATTAGAGTTTCATTAGATTTTTATTTGGATTATCAAAGGTGAGAGACAAAAGAGAATCGCGAGTGAGATGCTGTAATAAAAAAAAAAGGAAAAACACTCGTCGCAATAATGCCAGACCAGCTCTCCTTAATTTTAAAATTTTAAATCAGTGGGAAATTTTTACAGCAAAGAATCTCTCCAGTAAATGCTTTTTTTTTTTATAAATCTACCGGCAAAACAATCGCTCTGTCTTTCTCTCAACTCGCCTGAAGAGAGAGAGAGAGACGAATCTCGGGGGGCTGATGGGGGCGGTGGTTATGGAGGTCGCCGCCGCTTGCATTGGGTGGCTGCTTTTGTTCGGCGGCGTCGCCCAGGGCCATGATTTTGCGGAGTTCTTCTTCAACAATACGGAATTGCCCTCAATGGAATCTGTGTCTGAAAATGGCCTCTCTTCTTCTTCTTCAGCTGCCGACACTACTATGCCCAGTCCTCTCATGGTCCCCCTCACTCTAATTCATGGAGCTCCTGCTAAAGGAGCTGGTATTATTTTCTCTCCCTTTTTTTTCTTCTTAAGAAATGAATTTGGAATATTCTGGATATAATTTTGGAAGTGTCCGGATTTAGTTACTTAAATTATTGCGTTTTTTTTTTTGCTTTAAAAGTTTGAACCAGCTGAGAGTTATTATTGATGTGTCCTGCTGAGTAAAGATGTTGAAAAGATTCCATCGATTTTGCCTTTTGCATTTTGAAATCACTGTTTATATTACTCCCTCCGTCCATAAATTGTTTCCAATGCAACACTTTGACTATTAAAATCTCTATTTATATATAAATATGTATTATAAAAAGTAATTTTCAAAATCATGTTTCGAAATGAATATATTGTTATTAAATTTATATAGTAATTCAACTTATTTTTTTCATAATTTATGATCAAAATTTAAAAAGTTTGACTATAAGTCGAACTGGGAAGATTTTTTTTGGACAGAGGGGTAATTATTACTATTATTATTATTATTATTATTATTATTATTATTTTGTTGCTTCTTTGACACAATTAGTTCTTTTTTTAGTCGATTGAGGTTACTTAAAACCAAGTTTAGTTCTTTCTTCTTTGGGGTATGGGGCTAAAATGGACACAACCTTATCCCTGTTTTATTTTCCTTAAGACTAATGATGCATTTACTACTCAAACCTTTTATAGAACGTAAGAAGAAGGTTATGAAGTTTAATGTGTCTTTGTGGTTGTCTATTGCTTACTTAAGCTATTAAAACATTGTTAATGAGTACTTTTTTTAGCTCCATTGGCAATGAACAAAGTGGTAATTCTTCCAGTGTCAATAGTAATTTATTCTTTTTTATTAATTTATTCAATTCATACCGGTTTCATTTTTTGGTTTATGACCTTCTTCAGTGTGTCTTGATGGGACGCTACCTGGTTATCACATTAGTTTGGGCTATGGATCAGGAGCAAACAGTTGGCTCATTCAATTGGAGGTTTGCTCAAAGCACTCTGAATAATAATGATATCAATCCTTTTTTCTTATAAATTTGCTTTGTGTGGTATTATAATAGGGTGGCGGATGGTGTAATAGCATTAGATCATGCGTTTACCGCAAAACCACACGCCGTGGGTCATCAAACTTTATGGAGAAAGTGCTTCAATTTACCGGAATTTTGAGCAATAAGGTTGAGCAAAATCCAGGTTTGTTGTTGTTGTTGTTGTTGTTAAAGAGTAGATGATATCTTGTTAGAGGTCTTACGATGGTATATTTAAGAGAGAATGAAATGCTAATAAGATGTTTTGGTTGAACTAGCTAATCAATTGAATTCAGATAACTAATGGACTAAATAAAAACAATGCATTACAATTCCATTGAGGTTATGTACATCTTGACCTCCAGCCCAACGAAGTTGGGGTTGTACTGGGTATGTTGTTGTCACAAAGCTCTGGGTATTTGTCAGCTCTTTTGGATTTCCCATTTGCAAAAAAAAAAAAAAACTTATTTGTTTTCTTTCAGATTTTTACAACTGGAATAGAGTTAAAGTCCGTTATTGTGATGGTGCATCATTCACAGGAGATAGTGAAAACCAGGTTCGTATATGTGGAAATCATTGTTTTTTCTTTTAGTTTTACTTAACAACAACAATCCAGTAAGATCTGGGGAGGGTAGACGCGCACATACCTTACCCTTATCTATAAAGGTAGAGACATTGTTTCCTAAAGACCCTTGACTTTCTTGGAGCTTTACTAATGTTGCTTTATTCTTTCAAAATAATAGTTGGTTTATTCATTGCTCAAACTACACTCAACAGAGACTGGGGTTGGTTAAACCCTTTCCTTACACCAAAAGATGCACGAGTGACCCTTGCAATCGAATGAGACACCTCATTACCAGAACATAAAACAGAGATAAAATTAAAATTACAATTAATCTCCAGTGGAACTAATTGTGCTTTGAGGTAGGTGATCACATAATTTCTTAAGTTTTTATTCAAAGCCTAGAATCTAACACCATAAACGCTCACCTAATGGAGGGAGGAGGCATACATCAAGCAACATAAGGACCACAAGAATCAAAGACCAATTAACCTATGGGTTTTGTCAAAGTCCCCAACGCATAGAATATGATATCAATGAAAACTTGTTCATACTTAGGAACTATTCTTTTGGGTTGGAAAAATTAACTCCCAACTTTTTCTAAGTCCTCCGTGTTTCTTCCAACAACGACTTAAACAAAGTAATTACATATGATGATTAGACAATAACATCATAAATTCAAATTTATAATGTCACCTCAAACACGGGCAAAAATAAAATCTTTTATATCCAAAATTGTTTTTCTTACATATTTATTTGGATAATGACTTTTTTAACACTATTTTTCCAACGTTTCCAAACTCCTTCCAGTTTTTTCCAACTCCTTCCGGTTTCTTTCAAAATTTAACTTTAGAATTCCAACCAAAAAGGACAGATTGAATTTTTAATTATTTTTTTAGAATTCCAGATTGACTTTTTTAGTTTTTTTCTGTGTTGAAAGACGTGCACACTAACCCTATGTTTGGATAAATGTTAAGGGATGAAAGAAAATAAAGGTATCTGTATAAAATTTTGAAGAAGAAAATAAAATTATTTTTCTTCCTCCTATTTGGATATAATAGGATGGAAGCAAAATAAATTTATTTTACGTTCTAATTAATAAGGTGGATATAAAATTAGTTACTGAGTACTACTTTATTTTAAAATCTTATCCCATTTGAAGGGGGAAACTAATAAAGGAAAATGATTGGATATTTTCCATCCTTATTTTCCTTACAATTTCAAACACAATGCATTCACTCATCTCCTAATTTTCCACCCTTAATTTTCTATCCACCCATATTTTACCTCTTCCTAACAGGATAATAGGTGAGTTAATTAGGCTGCAACAAATTTAGTGTCTAGTGTGTCATATAAAAACTGTAAATTGACCCCAAGCAAGGCCAATATACCCCACTCAGAGTCAGGAGTAGGATTGGAGAGATAACATGTACGTAAAACTCATCTTTACTCTGGGGAGTATAACAAACTTTGCAGAAATAAAATGCGAGTAAATGTGGATATTTAAATGACATTGATTTTGATGTACACACAATCCAATTTAACTGCTCAAAGACACCCATTGGGATTTCAATATTTCATAATACACTAGCTTTGACAAACAACCATTGCCGATATTGACGCTAGTTTTCACGGGATCACTAGCTAGGGCCAGGCTAGGCACAGTGTGAGACAATCCAGCTAATTCTCAGAAAAAAATACAGAAAAAAGATGTTGCAAAATAAATGCTAGTTAGTCATACAAATTCAAAACCAAAATACTGTTTTGTTTAAAAAACAAGAGTTCAACTACAAAGAAATGTAAGTAGTCAACATTAATTAATGACACCAAAGTTTAACTTCAAAGTTTCTTACTTTCTAATCAATCAACCCATCAGTCTCATTTACACATAACTAAAAATTTGAAAAATTGTCCCTTTCAGTTGTTCAACACATTTTAAGGAGTTGTAAACTTAACAAAGTGATATTCAAAACTTGAAGTTACATAAACTGATACAACTCAGGATTAAATGTTATGCCATAACATGCAGGTTGGGTCACAAGGTAATTGAATGTGGATTGAGAATTTGATATAAAACCAAAATGATTCGGACACAAGTACACAACTCATTTTAAGCGGGCCAATCCAAGATGTTTGGTTCACATATTTGTTTCAACCACCGTTAAATGATCTCTCAAATATGGAGCTGTCAAACAAGAACAACACTCTAGGTTCACATATTTTTCACTTGCTTATGAAGTTTTTAGGAAAGGAAGGTATGACTCAAAGTGCTTCTATTTTTTAAATTTATAATAACCATCCACTTTTCAATTTTCAAGATTTTTTCTTAAACTTCCTGAAGTCAAAATGTAAAATTCTTTGCAAGACGGTGAGACTCTTTGATATGAATTTTACCACTATATTATGGCGGTAGCACTAGCAAAGAGAATATGGAGAGGTAGAAATCCTAGAACAAAGAGTTCGGGAATTACTTTCTGGATCCTTCATTCCATCACAAAATGCATAAGAAATAGGGAGTACAAAAACTTCTTCCAAATTTTGTGGGCACATCACTACACCGAAGGAATTGACAATAACTACAAATAACATGGACACACTAACCTTGAGTCCTTGACCAATAAATAAAAATGTCTGAAACCACCTTAATCAGAAATTATTATTATTATTATTATTATTATTATTATTATTATTATTACTAATGATTAATAATAATAATTATTACAGTAGTTAATTATAATAATTATAATAGTTAATTTTGTCAAAAAAAAAAAAATAGTAAATAATTATTAATTATTAATTGTTAATAATAATACTTCAATCCCAAATTTATTGTTACAGTTTGGTTTACGATGTTTGACTGAAGTTTTTTTTTCTAATCCAATTTATTTCAAAATCGGTGCAAAATTAGAAGGTAAAAGAATGGGTAGCGAAAATAAGCAAAGAATGGGAATAGTGAGTGGGATTTTTATTTTGGGATGGAGAGAGTAATTATTAATATTAGTATTAGTAATAATATTAATATTAATATTAATATTAATATTAATATTAATATTAATATTAATATTAATATTAATATTAATATTAATATTAATATTAATATTAATATTAATATTAATATTAATATTAATATTAATATTAATATTAATAAACATTAACATTAACATTAACATTAATAATAATATTAACATTAATATTAATGTTAATACTACTATTAGTATTAATATTAATACTACTATTGATATTAATATTAATAATAATATTATTATTATTATAACAATATGCATGTCTCCCAATCATGCATCCCATGCATGCCTAGCCCAAGGGGGCGTCTTTCAAAGAACGGATTGTCTCCAAGCTCTTTTCACGCGTCCCAATGCTCGCTCTATTGTCGTAACACTCTTATTTTAGCGTCAATGTGGAACTTTAATCAAAGTTTAGTGGATCAAGTTATTTCTGCACACTTGAAACTTCATTAGCACTTATATTATATGTGAAATCAGAACAAGATTATGTAGAACACCAAGGCTAACAGTGGTGATGTGCCTAGCTATTCGTTAAGAGTATAGGAACCAAGAAAATTACCACTTTAATCAAAAGTGGTGATCCGGCATACATGTCACATAACATGGAGTTGCTATTCTGCTTCTTGAGATACGAGTTGAATCTTCCATCAGGCTGCAAAACTACAGTTTAGAGGGCAACGCATATATCAAGCAGCAATGGATGAGTTAATGTCGAAAGGAATGCGCAACGCTAAACAAGTACGGTTTTCTATGCATTTCATTCATTCTGTGTGTTCCTAAGTTCTGTTTGCTTTGTCTTATTGTTACTATTATCATCATGAATTGTCTTCAGGCTCTTCTTTCTGGATGCTCTGCTGGTGGTCTTGCTTCAATATTGCACTGCGACGAGTTTCGAAGTTTATTTCCAAGCAGTACTAAAGTGAAGTGCTTAAGTGATGCCGGATTATTTATGGATGCGTAATTTCCAACCATTTTATGCTTCAGCAAATACCGAAAAATGTTGTTTTTCAATTTATGTTTAGAATGGTTCTTTAAAATCAATGGCAATGAATCTGTCTTCATGGATCTGCAGAACAGATGTATCTGGCGGTCATAGCTTTAGGAATTTCTTTGCAGGCGTTGTAACCGTGCAGGTATTTCGCTAAGCATGATTTAACTTATCAGACTCCATAAAAATTAAATAAATGGCAGTTTTCTTACGTCACTTTTGATAGGATCTTGTGAAAACCCTGCCACGAACTTGTACTTACCGCCTTGATCCGACCTCAGTAAGTTATTCCTCTTAAATCATTTTCTTCCTCTCGACAGCTAACATACGTACTGTTTCCCGTTTAAGATTCCATTGCTAATTTGGTTTAGCATTTCTCTGTACTTCCAGTGCTTCTTTCCTCAGAATTTGATTGCCAACATCAAAACTCCTCTCTTCATTCTCAATGCTGCATACGACACATGGCAGGTAATACAGATTAGTTCTTTCATTAGAATTCTCTTGACTGCTAATAAAAAAGATATTTATCTTTTTCTCTCTTTTTGTCGCACCTCCCTTCAGATCCAAGAAAGTTTGGCTCCTCCTTTGGCTGACCCAAATGGCTATTGGCACAACTGCCGATCAAACTATCAGAAATGCTCTACATCACAGATTGACTTTTTGCAAGGTTAGTGTGGTTGAGGCGCATCTACAAGGTTATGTTGGAGAATTTTTATCATGGACAGAAATCTCACCTCAATTTTTTCTTTTGTGTTTGGGTGTGTCAGAGTTTAGAACTAGTATGTTGAATGCTGTAGAGGGGATTGCAGCTTCTAAACAAACGGGTTTATTCATAAACTCGTGTTTCGCTCACTGCCAATCTGAGAGGCAGGACACATGGTTTGCCGATGACTCTCCTGTTATCCGCAGCAAGGTATGTAATACCCATTGTGACTTTCACGTATTTTGAGAAAAAGTGTATGTTTAGAATTCGTTTAGATGCGAATGAAATCTTGTGAGCCACATGCACATTACCAAAAAAGAAATAAAGTGGCAAGTGTGTTTTGGGGACATCCAAAAAGAAGTGTGTAACCTTTTTTGGGACAGATAGAGTATTCTAACTTAGAGTTCCACCTCAAAATGGTTGACACGATAGGAGTGATCCAATGTCTTATATGTTGGTTTTCTATTTTTTTGTTCTGCAAATGTGGGATAGTTTATAACATGCAAGAAAAATCTATTGGTGTAAATATACCGCATAAAGGCTAGCTCATAGTTTATGGAGAGAAACGACTCGTGTAGTTTAACAACTGCATTGGCTTTAATTTTTTTTGCAGACAGTTGCACTTGCAGTTGGAGATTGGTATTTTGATCGAGCTAGCGAAAGGTATATTGACTGCCCATACCCTTGTGATGGGTCATGTCACAACTTAGTATTCAGATGAGCCTTGAAATTTTAATACTTGCTATTTTTATCTTCATACACTGGGTCAAATTTTAGCCCAGTGAAAAAGGTCTTCAGAGTTCTCTGTTCCAATTAGATGTGTTTATTTTACATGTTGTTGTGATGCCTGTTTTTTCTCTTGTATAAGTTGTTTTATCTTTACATTTTTCTTTTTCGGGTAATAATTTTTTTTACAATGCGATGTAATAAATCATTTCGAGGCAATAAAGTGGATACTGTATGATATACAAATTGTGTATATCGCGATGTACAACATATATTGTGTATTTTATTTTGTTAATATTAATACTGTAGCATACCTTGCTTGATGACACAATCCCAATTGATTTGTTGCTAATCTTTTTTTAAGGAAGATATGTTGCTAATCTTAGATTTAATTCTTCCAGTTTTGGGGCTCAACAGATTCCAAAGTTAAAGACTTCAAGTCTAAGAATTCATACTCTTAGATTTATTCGTTTAAAATACTGAATCAAATACATCTAAAATGAACTTAAAATGTCAAATACAACTCCCAAACGAGTTGTCACTTGTTCATCTTACTAATGAGCACACCTTCGTGGGTTTATGTTTCAGCTCTCAATAAAAGTATCAAGGACTTTAGTCCACCTGACACGACAATGAGTTGTGATATGGACAGTAATAAGAGGAATATAGACTGGAAAATGTGAGAGATAAAACTTTAAAAATACTTGCATATTCGGAATACGATCCTTTTTTTTTAAATAATTTTAAGACCTCGAAAATGTGATGTTGAAATAAAATTGCATTCAAAATGATGTGTTAGCTTGCATCATCACTACACCATAAACAAGGAAAAATCTATGCCAATATTCTCAAAATTTTAGTAAGATTTTATACGAATACTCCAAAGTTACATAATTATCACTGGCATTTGTAGAAATTCAATATGGGGAGTACTACTTGGCATTCATGTAAATCGGGATATACACATTGATCACAAATTTGACTAAAAAAATCAGGAGAACCATGTTAAGTAAAAATTCTCTTGGAGGTTTTTGTTAAAATATTGAGTTTCTTAGAGTGCCGATGATAATTATGTAATCTTGAAGTGTTATTGTAAAATATCAAATATTTGGGATTATTGAAATAAAATTTTCATATGAACAATTCAAACGTTTTTAACAACAAAGACATTCTAAAATTGATTTTGGTACCCCAACTGCTTTCTTGAAACTTTAAAAATAGAGTCGCACACAAAATATTCATCAGTCATAGTGTCATTATACATGAGCAGAAGTAATTCTCAATTAATGTGAAGTTTTAACAATTAATATATGCACATTGTTCATTAAGATGTACTTCGTCCATTTTTGAAAGGTTGCAACACTTCCCCCTTATTTTAACTAGGAGTATTATACTCCTAGTAACATTTTGGACAGTTTATTGTGAAGGTTTTGTACATATAATAAAGGACCATGCTACACTTACACAAAAAAAAATATACCCCATTTGTACACCACAGTTATGCACAAACATTTTGATGATTTACACCGACACAAGTGTTAGTGCGTTAACAAAAATTTACACAGACACAAAGTGATGGTGCGTTAACAAAATTTGGTTTTGCACCAACACAAAATGTTGGTGCAAAACCTGCGGGGTACAAATTGGGGTATAAATGTTGGGGTACACATAGCTTAATCCTATAATAAAACACAAAATTCCATTCAGACACTGCAGATCCAAGGTTGTCCTTGCACTATACCTACACTAAAACGTTGTTTTGGTCTTCACCGTTGTCCATTTGACGCGGGGTATCAGGATTGCAATATAAAAATGTATAGGACTAAATGCGCTTAGAACGAAGAATTGATNGGGGGGAGTATCCGGATTGCAATAAAAAAAATGTATAGGACTAAATGCGCTTAGAACGAAGAATTGATTGTCGAATGGTGCCAATAATGCACTTTCCCCAATATAAAACTACTTCAAACATGGGTTGCAATAATTGAAATTTAAATGAACATAAAATCCAAGAGAACAGAACAGAATCTCAATCCATGTTATGATAATATACCATGCTTGGTACTCCTAAAAGTGCAAAATAGATCTTCATGTTCAACTTGCAATAACAAAAGCATGCCAACAAAAAAAAAACATTAGTAAAAACACAAACCTGATATGTTTCATTCCCCCCCTTCTTTAGTCACTCATTGTTGAAAGCTTGTAAGAAATCTCGGCGCGTGCTTCTTCCAGCTTGAATGAGAGCTCCCTCATGAAAGCTGTTTTTGTGCCGTGAGTGATTTGCAATATATCCATTGCCCTAGTCAGTGACTTCAAGGCTTCCTCAGACTCTCCAAGCCACCTAAAACCCCCCCAAAAGAACAACGAAGAAGACGACAAAAGTTTTATTCATTTCACCAAAGTAATGCCCTGGTAGAGTAATCAAAACTATGATTAAAGATGGGAAGTCTATCTCTGACCATTCAAGTTTCCCACAAGTATAATACTGGAGTCCAAGCAAAGGGTGAATTCCTTGATATACTCCTGCAGAAACAAATAAATATATACTAGATTGAATTCCCTTTAGGTAATATTTGGGAACTATATTTCATTTGAAAAATTAGATTTCAATTCCAATACTTGAAATCTCATAATTTCAAATTCTAAATGTTGTTTGGTAAATCATAGAATTTCAATTCTAGGATTTGAACTTTGCATTCAGCAAAGACGGTGACTGAAGTGGGTTGATATGTATGAAATTGTTATTGCATAAGGGGAGATCACTCCTAAATTGCAAGTTATAAAATAAAGAAAAATTGGGCCTAAATTTGTAAATGACATGGGGAGATGTGTGAGATTGTAATTGAGTATGTTTTGACTTGGAAGAATTTGGTCCAAATCCAAATTATTCGAGTTCCAAACAAGTAATTTGGACCAAATCCAGATTTGAAATCCAAATTCAAGTTCCCATACACTCCATTATAGATTTTTCTTTGTATATTAACCTTAGAAAAATGACAACTAGATATATTTCATCCTGCAACAGTAAGATATAGCTGCTGCATACTCTGATAAACTGGAAGAGTCAATCTGCAATATGACAGGGCTGCCTTCCAATCTTGCAGCTCCATAAATATCTGGTAATCAATTAATTCCACTCATCATCATGGTATGATCACATTAGTGAACGTAGAAGGACGGGACAACAGTCCGTGACTAGTTTCTCATAATTAGAGTTTTGACTTCAACTATTGATGACTTTGTAAATGAATATAATAACACATCCACTTATTCTATTCCCAAGGGTCTTGGCGAGCAAGTTGCTAGAGTTCTAACTTAATACATTAGTGCTAAATATTAATAATAGGAAACTAATACTTATGCTATTAAATAAATAATACTCCTTCCGTCCAGGAAAGATGTTCTCAAGTTGACTTTTCACGCTTCTTAAGGAGAGTTAAAAAGGTGGAAGTTTACTAGATTACCCTAAATGAAGGTGGGTGGAGTATATTAAATGAGGTGGGTGAGGTGTGATTAAACATAGTGAGGGTAGTTGTGGGTATTTTAAATGTTAAAAAAGATAATGAGAAGATCTTTCCCGGACAAAACAAGGGCATTTGGGAAGATCTTTCCCGAACAGAGTTAGTAGTACTAGTAGTAATAATAATAGTAATAATAACAAATTAACAACAACAACAACAATAATAATAATAATCGTATCACATTGTTGGGAAAACAACATCAAAACCAAATGAAAACAGAATAGGAAAAGAATATACGTACAAGGCTAGGGTCCTGAAACCAAAATCATCATGATTTATAAGCATTAGAAAAAAGGAATTTCCAGAGAACTGATAATTACTGCTGAGAAAATCCTGAAGTTTATACAATAAAAACAAAACGACAACCCAATAAAATCCTGAGCTATTGTAAATCTCAAAATAGGTAATGTGAACTGAATTCAACATAAGTTTATGTGATGATAACGGTTGTGATAAATTCATAATCTTGAACAACTGCAGTAGAAATATTGAAGAAAAAATTATCTTAGTTTACAAATGTTTCAGGCTTCTTTAAGACTCAATTTTTCATAATTAAAAAAAAATACCTCACAGCATGATACTAAGACCAAAGCAAAAGAATACAGGCAGGAACTCAAAACTTAAACAGAGTACAAATAAAAAACATACCTTTAAAAGATTTTCCCGGGTACGCATTAGATTAAGTGAGAAAGGATGGTAAAGCTTCAATTCGAGCTCCTCAATCATCTTATATATCACAATAGCATCTTTCTGGTCTGATTTCCCAAAATCACCATTAGAGAAAACAAATGTAATAAGCTAATTGTCCACTGGATGGATGCAAATAATAGTTATCTGAAATATCAACTTCTTGGTGAGCAAATATTCCTCACAAACATCTTATTGGTTGGATTAAAAAATAACTCGCCAGCATAGTTATCACGGCGCCAAGGCGAGGCGCGGCGCCAATGTATCGCCATGACGCCTAGACGCCTAGTCGAGCGCCTAGGCGACGATTAGGCGACAAAATTATATTTATATATATATATATATATATATATATATATATATATTCCTGTGTGTGTACATTATTATATTATATTATATTATATTATATTATATTATATTATATTATATTATATTATATTATATTATATTATATTATATTATATTATATTATATTATATTATATTATATTATATTATATTATATTATATTATATTATATTATATTATATTATATTATATTATATTATATTATATTATATTTTATTATATTATATTATATTATATTATATTATAT